AGGTCTGTTCTGCCTGGCTGCTGCCTGACCAAGATGAAACATTCATTATTCTTGTGCCCTCACTGGGCCCCCTGCCCTAGGTGGATGGCGTAGTACCTCACCCAGCCTCAGGGACCCGAGGGCAGGAATGGAGGCTCTGAAGGTGTGACCTGGCCAGGTAAACACAGGTGGGAAGGGCATTCCTGGCAGTGGGCAAAGCATTAATTGACAAAGGCATGCAGCATGGCCAAGCCAGAGCACAAAGTGGGATGGGCAGGAGTGGGTCAATCAGGACCTGGGAGCCCCTAGGAGGGTCCGGCTTGTCCTAGATCAAGGAGCCTTATGTCAGGAGGGCTTTGTGACCCCAGAGGCTCATTCTGCACCAGGGTAGGGAGGCCGGAGGCAACACCCATGGGGAACCACAGTCACATGCACTGGCTGGAACGTCCCCCATGATAGTTCTCTGCAGTCTCCCACCTCAGAGCCAGAGCCTGATGGGAGGGCATTCAGGAGAGTGTCACTCAATGAATACTAAATGGCCTGATCTGGTGCAGCTGATGACAGGGGTTGGACCTGAACCACTGTGTTTTGGCCATTGCCTCATGTCTTTATGGACTATGGCATGGATGCTCTTTTGGGGTCCTCTGTAGTCCCAAAAGGCCTCTCCCAAAGGCAGATTCCTCCTTGTTGTGGAGGCCTGTGTGATCAATGGTCTTTCAAGTGGGCCCAGGAGACAATCCCTTGTTCTATAGATTTTCCTATCAACCTTGCATTAGGCAGTAAGAGGGAGTTTGTATCTTGTTTCCCTTTTCTCCATGGCTGCCAGGCAGCTCTGGGCACATTTTATGCTCAGACATAAGAACAGGACACCTTTAATCCAGCTTTCTGGGCCAGTGGTCCTACTCCATCTTGAATTGCAATTCTTTACCATAACCATAATCATCCTATTGTACCCAGGGCTTTTAATGGGAGCAGTGAAAATCCTCTTGGTAGGCAAAAAATACATTTTGGTCCCTAGGGCTGTCTTTTGGCCCAGAGTTTGCAGATGACTCTTGTTTCCCAGGCAGATTTTAGAGGGATGGAGCTGTGCCCTGCTGCAGCTGGGGCCACTGACCTTTTCATATCCCTGGCCTGGCATAGGCAGGAAAGAGCACGCAGCCTATTTACACTTGTAGATCACTCAGGGAATGGACTCAGAGGGTCTGTTGGGGTCCCTCCCACACAGATTGGACACTTTCATGGCCTCAAACCTCCCCTTCTCCTCCCCTCTTATTGCTCCTGATGCTCTCAGCAGTCCTGCTGGTGAAATGGGACACTCGGAAGTAGGCATGTGTGCAGTCAATGGTCGAGGCAGATGCATAGTGGGTTCCCAACCCCTGCATGTGGGGGCCATATGGGCTGATGGGACTTTTGGCAAAGTGCTGGAGCTGTCCAACCAGACTCTAGACAGGCCTGCAGGCACTGTATGTTTTGATCCGACGCTATGCTGGAATATTTGAGCCCTGCCGATGGATGTGATATAAAAATACAGCCGGCTGCCAGCACAGCCAGGAAGGGCGGGTTCCTCGCCAGCAAGTACCACAGCAACACATTTCCCCCGCCTGCAGCCCCCACCCCCAGAGCTGGGGACAGGACCCAAAGATCGGAGCTGCTGTTATAAAGTATGAGTATTTCTGCTGCTCTCAGGAATATTTTCTTTTGAATTCCATATTGAGCTGTAACAGAATATTTGGATTATTCCCCCTTTTCTGTAGAAACTCAGCCAATTAAATTAAAACACATATGTTAATTTAAATATATATATGTCTACATATATTTGGTGGGAACTTCATGCATCAGCAACACGCTTGGGCCAGGTCCAGATGAACCCAGAGAAGGCCGGTGTTGGAGCTGGTGTCCTTTAAGTCCAAGCCTTCCTGCATCTCCTGGTGGTTACTTTATTTTATTTGCCTGAAGTCTCCTGAGAGCTAGAAAGGGAAGCCCTGAGCAGGACACTGGCTGTGTAAAATGCTGCCTGGGGATGCATCTCATGTTATCCATGACGCTCGCTCCCAGGAGATTAACTCCAAGGTACATTGGGAGTGGGAGCAGAGCCCAGATCTGCAGCTAGGCCTTTCTGGGCTCATAGGTTGCTCTGGGACCTCATACCTGGGGCCCTGGCCCACAGTTTCCTCAACTACAGACAGGGGCTGACCACAAACAACTCTGGCTCCATGCAGTTGGTTTGTAGAGAGATGAGAAGGGCCAATGCCTGGTCTGTGAAGAGGAGAGCCACTGTGGGGTTACTGGCTCTGTACCCCAGAGACTCTCTTGTCAGGTGCTTCCAGGCCCAGCATGTGGAGCGGACAGCTCACACACCCTTGGGGTAGATGTTGGTGTCCTCACTTCTTGGATAAAGATACCAAGATGCAGAGCACACTGACTAGCCACATCCCTGTGGCAGTCGGGGTGAGAAGCCAGGCATCTGTCTCTGTTTATCTAGCTGAAGAGCGAGTCTCTCTGGGCAGCAGTCATGACCAAGTGGTGAACATCTGCCAGCTGCATTTCCTGTGACAGCCTGGAAAGGTGCAATGCTTGGGATTAGGAAAGGAAAATGAGACGGGTCTGTTGACATTATTCCATGGGCTCTGCTGCACCCTTGGAATGAATGCCCCAAGACCCTTGGGGTGGGGCCAATGTTACTCTGCAGATCCAAGGTGGCCTGCTCCCTGGTGGTCCCAAAGCAGTAAGCTTCAAGCTACCAGGGGGATGTGTTTACCCTGCAGATCTCACAGCTTCTGGAGCCTCAAAAATAAAAAAGAAAAACCCAACACAATGACCAAACACCTCTCCCCTACTCGAACAAGGGGGTGGCCCTAAAAAAGGTGGTTCTCCAGGTATCTCTGCAGTCTCTGGCCCCTGTGCTCAGCCTCCTGCTGTGTCCTATCTCTGTCTCCCCTACTTTGGCACTTCATTCCCTAAAGCTTCCTTCTGCCCTCCAGCCTTTTGCTAGAGCTGTGCCCTCCTGGGATCCACTCCTCAGTTTTGGGAAGCATCCATTCCCTACAGCCTCCTGAGAGACAGTTGGGAGTGGGAAGAATATGCTCAATAAGTACTTCTATTTTGTGGCTGAATTTGGAGGCAGGCCCAGCTCTTATTGCCAGCTGTGTGACCTCGGGCAGGTCACCTCTCTGAGCCCCCATGAAATACAGCAATTGCCACAGGAAATGAACTAGTAAAAATACTCCAAAATGGGCTCTACAATGTTACTCTCAGGCAACAGCATCTTGGGTTGGACTGGGGGTCCTGAATGCTGGTGGGGGTACTAAGAGCTGCCTTCTCATCTTGCCCAGTTTAAGAGTTCTGGATCCATCCTGCAAGCTTGGTCTGAGGCAGATTCTGGCGTGAAAATTCTGGGGTCTGGAGAGTTTTTAAATAAGGATGTAGTGATCCCTTTGTGGTCCTGAGGCCTGCCTTTGGAGCTTCCCCATGTGCCTCTTTGCAGGATGCCAGCTGTATAATCTCTAAGACAGGTCACCCCCATGATCCCCTGATTTTTCTGGCAGGTTGGACCACAGACTGGCAGGCCTGGCAGAGTCTGTGGTCCAGAGAGAGCAGTGATATGTGTGAATTGTGTAGCAACCCCATGATACCTGGGCCAATGATTGTGGACTCCCTGCCTGGGCCTGGTGGTGGAAGGTCACCCACCACCCCACACCCACCAGTCTCAGTTTCCCCACCTGAGTCTGAGAAACTGAGACAGGGGTGGGTGTGGGGTGGCCGCTGACCTTCCACCACCCTCATAGCAGGTATGAGTGGTGAACACCAGTGGGGATAGCTCTTTGCACCTTGGGTACCGAGGGCCCATACACAGCTTGGTGTGATGCAGCCAGGCAGCTGCAAGGGCACTTCTCTAAGGAACACAAGTCAGACCAGGAAGCAGCCTGCTCTGGTGCCTGACTTGGGGGACAGGGCTTAGGGAAGAAAGGCAGAACCCAGGGCTGATTCCTCCCCAGGACAGACACTAGGCCAGCCCAGGCCCAGGAGAGATAAGGTGGGAATCCAGAAGTGCTCTGAGCAGAGCTGGGCAGGCAGGGCCTGGGAGGAGAGGCATATACTTAGGGAAGCCCTGGGGGTGGCAGGGAAATTTTGGATTGTTCTAGTTGAGGAGCTCAAGCACTGTCTGTGGTTTGGGGGCTCTACCTCCCCCATGTTTACACCCAAGTCCTACTCTGGCCCTTCACCCCAGTTGTCCCAGGGCTTCCCTGCTCTGTGCAGAGGCTGGAAATCTGTAGGGTCCTGGTCCCCTGAGGACCCAGCACCCAGGGAGCCCACTTCAATATTATGCTCCCCTCTTCTATGCACCCCTCCTCAAACCTCAGTGTCACCTGAATGTGGACACTCAGCTGGGTGGGGGAGCCCTTAGAGAGGGGGAAACAGGCAGCCTCAAGACCCCTTCCCAATACTGCAGGCTTTTCCCTCACCTGTGGCTTTCAGACCTCAATGACCTCCAGATTGGTTCAGAAATAGTAAGAAACTGTTTCAACTTTACTCTGGCCAAGCTGCACAAGCCAAGCCGAGGGCTCTAGACCTGGCCTCAAGCCCACCCTATCTCCTCCAAAGAGGCACACTCAGAAATTAGCCAGAGCCTGGAGGACTCGCCCAAGGCTACTGGGTGGCCTGGATTGGGAAGGCCTGCCTCCCCTCCATCCCTCAGGCCCTGGGGGCCAGGTGGAGGCACAGGATGGGAATGCATGGAGGACAGTCCCCCAGATCTAAATTTGGAGTCAGCTTGGGAATTCTAGATTCCTTTTGCCTCTTAGCCACTTAAGGCACAAGAATTTTGAGTATATATACACATATATATTTTGCATGTATACAAAGCATTTTGTTTTAACGAAAAAGACCTCCTCATGCAAGAGGGGAAATTAGAAACTTGAAGCCCTCTGTTCAGCCCTGGGGTGGGGCCATGAGATAGACAGGGTGAGGGTCTGGAAGGTATCCATACCCCCAGGCTTAAGGACAAACTGCTGGATCCAACATTAGATTACAAAGGTTTATTTAGAAAATAGTTTGGTTGTTTTCGCTGTCGTTTTTGGCAAACATTGAAATACTTTCAGTTATCAAAGATTGTCAATGTCCTCTTTCTCCCTAACCCCAAACAGCCGACCCAACTAGGTCCTGGGGAAGTCAGCCCTTGCTCAGACGTGATACAGGGTGGTGGTGTGTCTGGGGGAGGCTCTTTTCTCACACACTTGGGGGCTTGTGTCCACCACTGCATTCTAAAACCCTGACATCACAGCCACACCTCGGCGGGACCCCCACAGCTGGGGCCCTAGAAGCAGACCCTTGTTGAGGTAGGGCTCCTTGCTGAGGCAGGAAGGCAAAGGGGTCCCCCTTTCTCCTCCTTCCCTCCCCGGAGGCCCTGCTGTCTCTCTACCCTGCCCAATCCTCCCCTGCATCCTGGAGGCCAATTCATCCAGGGTCTCTGGGGAAATGAACAGCCCTGCCTGCCACCTCCTCTGCCCAGCTCCGTGCTCGGAGCCTTCCAGGATCTCCGGGTGAGGTGGCGCGGGTCACTGCCTGAAGCCCCTTCTCCTCCGTCGGAAGAGGATGTGCTTGAAGGAGCGCCGGAAGTCCTGGTTAAAGACTGTGTAGATGACCGGGTTGAGTGAGCTGTTGCAGTAGCCGATCCAGAAGAAGAACTTGAAGAGAGGGCCAGGCACCTGGCAGGCCTCACGGCAGATGCCGTACAGGCTGTAGCTGAAGAAGAAGGGGAACCAGCAGAGCACGAATACACCCATGACCACCGCCAGCACGAAGGTGAAGCGTTTCTCGCGTGCCTGGGCCACTTTACGGCGGCACACGCTGCTTCGCGCCCGGCGCCGGCGGGACAGGAAAAACTCGACCGAGCGTGAGCTGGCGCGTGACAGGCGCCCGCTTGGCCCAGGGGACCTGGCTGCAGTCAGCGCCCCGGGCTCGTTCTCCCCTGACGCCTGCCCTGGCCCGTCCGCGCCGCCTGCACTCCCCTCGGCGCCCGCGCGCCGCCGCCCACCCCGCCGCAACGCCCCCCGGCGACGCCGCCTCTCGGCTACCGCGCTGTTCTCGTCCGGCTCCACGTCGGCGCGCGGGGGCACGCAATGCCCATTTTCGCCCGCGCCCGCCGGCATGCCCAGCCCGTTCTCCGTCGTCGGGGACGCGCCGTCGGGGCCCGCGGGAGCGCGCTTCTCGCTGAGCGTGCGCGTGCGCAGCTTGGCCACACGGTAGATGCGTGCATAGACCAGGCCCATGATAAGGCAAGGGGCAAAGAAGGAGCCGATGCAGGAGGACAAGATGTACCAGGTCTCGTCGTTTAGGCCGCACTGCGGGTAGGCGGCGCCGTCGGGCTGACGGTAGAGTGAGACGAGCGGTGGGAAGGAGATGACCGCCGAGATGAGCCACACAGCCACGATAGTGGCCTTGACGCGGCGCGGCGTGCGCTTGAGGTTGTACTCGACGGCCTGCGTCACCGACCAGTAGCGGTCCAGGCTGATGGCGCACAGGTGCACGATGGACGAGGTGCAGAAGAGCACATCGAGCGCCAGGTATACACCACACCACACCTGCCCGAAGTACCAGTAGGCCATGAGCTCGTTAGCTAACGAGAAGGGCATGACGAGCGTGGCCACCAGGATGTCAGCTGAGGCCAGCGACACCAAGAAGAGGTTCTGTGGCGCGCGCAGCGCTCGGCTAGTCAGCACAGCGATCACCACCAGCACGTTGCCCACCACGGTGAAGACGATGAGGAAGCCCACTACTGCCGCCAGCCCTGCCACAGCGCCCGCTGAGTACTGACCGGGCGGCGGCCCCCAGGCAGACCCCGAGGCATTGGCACCCCCGCCGCCAGCGCCGCCGCCAGCGCCGGGGACGCCATGGTCCTCCCGCGAGCTACGCCGTCCCTCTGGGAGCCGGGGAGCAACCGCGGCAGCCTGAGCGCCCCGCAGCCCGGCTCGGCGCCCACATCGCCGCCTGCTCCTCTGGCGCGCCCGCCGGGGACAGCGGCGCCCCACAGCCGGCCCTCGGCCGTGGTGGCTCGGCGGGCGGCGCGCCGGAGAGCTTGGCTGCCGGGCTCCCCGCAGCTGCCGAGCGTGTAAGTGCAGAGCAGGAGGCGCCCGGAGCTAGCGGCGACGCGGCGGCGGGGGGAGGGGACAGGTCCCGGGGTCCTCGCGCAGCCCCGCCCTCGGTCCCGCTCACGGGGAGCGCCCCGGCCTCGAGCCCACGGTTACGCGGCACCCGAACGGGCGTGCCAGAACGGTCCCGCGGCCCCGGCGCCCTGGCCGGGCGCAGGCTGCGGGCGGCGGCGGCGGCCCGGGCGCTCCACCTCCCATCCAGCCGGCTAGGACTCTGCACGCCGGGGGGCGGGCCGCCGCTCCTCTGGGCCTCTGCGCCCGCGTGCACCCTACGGCTCCAACTTTACTTTCCCGGGCTAGGCGCCGGCGCCACCGCGAGTCCTCCGCCCGCTGCTCTCGGTGCCGTCGCCCCCCGCAGTCCGCGAACTGCCATGAGGGTGCAGCCTCGCCCTCCGCGCCTGCCTCGCTTGCCGGTGCCGCGCCGCCGCCGCCCCCTCCGCCGTGCGCTCGGCGCAAGTACAGCCGCCGGGCTGGGCTTCCAACTTGTACCGAGTTGCGCAGCCGGGAGTGCGTGCGGGGCGGGGCGGGGCAGGCCAGTGCCACCCTGCCCTGGGGAAGCGCGAGGGGAGCAGGAGCCCGCGGCCGCCTTGGCGAACCTCGTAGCGCGGCGTTGGGAAGGGGCTGGGCGGCGGCGCGGGGCGCGCGCTCGGCGAGGGCACCCCCTCCAAGACCCTCTGTAGCCTGCTGGATGGGGCTGGGCGTCGGCCGGCCTGGGCGTTTTGATCCAGTGCCTCCTCTTTCTAAGACTGGAGCCTTCTTCACCTCCCCTGGCACAAGATACGCGCGCGAGAACGCGCAGACGCGTGCGCGGCATAGGCTGGCTCGGGGTCCGCGGCCTGATTGGAGAGCCAGCCTCTCGCAGTCTGGAGAGGGTGCGCCACTGCCAGGGTGCGCACTGGTCTTGCGGAGCCTGGGGTCAGGCTCAAATTTTGGTGCTCCCCGGCAGATTCTCTTCCCCACCCACGCTGGCCTCAGTTCCCTCCTCTGCCCCCTTCGCAGCGCTGCTGGAACATGAATCATAGCATAACGGCGTTGTCTGAGGAAGCCCTGGGCAGGCTCCCAAGCTCTGCGCCCATGTTGGCAATTATTGAAGTTTAATTCTCATGAGCCGAGGCCCTGCTTTTAAAGGATGGAGCGGTGTTCAAAATCACCACCTCTGACAAACACCCAAACTGAACTGCACACATAAAGAGCAGAACAGCCACTGGGGCAACCGACTCCCATTATCCCACCCTTATGCTTGTATTTCGCAGATGTGTGCTGTCGCTCACGGCCCTTGTTGGGTGCTAGTGGCTGCCTCCAGGCAGCCTGAGACAGACGCCTAGGGAGGAGGTGGCCCAAAGGGAGAAATTAGAGTTCCCAGGTCTGACATTTCTCTGCAGGGTGACCCCTTCCTCCCATCCATCCAAAACCACACCCCAGCTGGTGGGGCTTCTCCCTCTGCCAAGGCAGACAAGGGAGAGAGAGAAGCTGTGTGTGTGTGGGGGGGTGGCTTCTGAGTACCCAGGATTTCATCCAAGGGGTTGGAGCAACTCTGCATCCCACCCATGACGCCTAGAAATGACCAGTCTTCAGCAACTTCCTGTTGAACTCCGAAAGGTTGCCTTCTGTTGCCTGATAGCCTGAGTGTTCCTCTTAGGCCAAGCAGCCTTATAAGGGGAGCGCTGCATCTCAGCAGATGCTGCTGTGGAGCAGAGCCCCCTTGTCCACCATGTTTGTCACCATCACAGCCTGGAGGCTTGGAATGGGGCTTGAGCCAAAGCCAGGCAGAAGTCAAACACTCAAGATGACAGGCCTGCCCAGCAGAGGTGCATTTGGGAGGAGCAGAAGGCCATAGCTATCATGAGAGAGGTATATGACCCAAGGAAGGTGGATGGTTGCCATTCTTGCTAAAGGCCTTCCTGGTCCTAGATGCCTAAAAGATGCCATAGATCACTGGTGCCTGGGGGAAGACTCCTGTCTACATCGGGCCCTCTGCCATGAGCAGAGAGGGAGTGGACCTGGCCTTGAGGCACTCACAGTCTGGGGCAGACAGTGCCAGTCACTGAAAGGGGTATATTGACAGACATTGGTGTTCTGGGGATCTTTCTTCATTTTGGAATTGGAGTTGTCATAAAAGGCTTCCTTGAGGAGGTGACCAAACTATGCTTGGAGAATTTGGAAGAGAGATGAGGAAAGGAGAGGCCCCTATAGGCTGTCCTCCCTAGGGTGGGGGTAGCTTTGTCCTGGAGGTGTGCGGAGCTAGGGCAATGGCAGTGGTCAGATGAGGGTTTTAAAGTGCCCTCCCTCCCCCAGAAGCGTGCCAACCATGTACTCCCCCCCACACACCATAGCGGACTTTCATCTTGTGTGAAGATCTTTCGGGGATGCACAGGGGTGCGTGGACAGTCCATTCAGGATGCTGGCTCTCTCCACATGCTCACAAATGGTGGCAGCCTATATATGAAAAAAGTTCAGTGAGCTTTGTCCCTCACCCTAGACATGAAATTAGACTTGACAGATTGCTCCAGATCATGTGGTAGAAAGCAGAATGATGTATGCCCAGAAAGACTGCATGTCCCATGAGTGGTCAATGGCCAGGCCCAGACTGGACATGGCCAGGAGGGGTGATGAAGGAGGATGCTATAAGGAGTCAGGCTGCCTTCGTGGAAGTGGAGGAGGCTGTATGTGTGCATAGGCATGGAGGCAGATTGGAGGCCAGTGTGAGTACATGTTACGAGGAAAGCCACAAGGGAGAGGAGCATGCTGGGTCTGCAAAGGTGAACTTGCACTTTGTCTCACCCATGATGAGTGGGGCCCAAAGGGCAGTAGTGGTCCAGCCAGGACTACACAGCCATAGGGTTTTGGGTATTGGGTTCTGGCTGCTGTGCCAGAGAGAGCTGGAGACCAGCAGGTAGTGGGCCATGCCTAAGAGGGGTTTGCATGCATGTCTGCTGGGTGCATGCCTGGGATGGGCATCCAGCTTCACAAGCAGCTCAGCTTGGATTGAGGGAAGCTTGTCTCCTTGAGCTGCCTCCCTGCACACACAGCGATGCACACACATGCACAGTGTCCTCATGCATATGTCCCCACACACGTGTACACACATGCACATCTGTGTGCATGCAAGCACAAACATCCACACACACAACTGTCCACATGTCTGCATGCATGCACACATGCACACCTAGTCACACACAGACATATCATTTTGCAAGCACACACATACACAGTATGTCCACGTTTATGGACACACACATAATATACATACATGTGTGCACATATACATATTTATACATATGCATGCATACCCACATAGTGCACCTGTCCATGCACTGTGCACATACATGTGCTAGACATGTATACGTGCACACTAACACATCCATGCACATACAGTGGGTGCACATATAACTACACACATGCACATACATGGGTGCATAAATCTGCATGCATACCTTTGTCTGTGCATGTATGTATACCCATGCAGATACACTGTGTACACACTGGGCATGTATACACGTGTGAACACTGCTGTACAACATGCACACATGGGTTTATACATGGGTGCACACATACACACACGTGCAGATACCATGGCTTTGCTCACCTTCCTCGGCTTCAGGGAGGCTGCAGATTGCAGCTACAGGCTGTTCTGAGGCTGAGGTTGGGTTCTGCTTCACCTCCCAGTCTGCCCAGGTCTACCCAGTCCTTTCAGACAGTTCTCCATTCCTTCCTTCCAGGCTGTGAGGCCATTTGGCACTACCTTGTTGGACCCTGGGACTTGGCACATGCAGTCCTTATGGTCTGACAAGCCTTTGCCCTGTTTTCCTGGGGCTCTTTTCCTTCCATACTTGTTACATAAGGTTCCTCCTCCAGGAAGCCTTCCTGATCTCCCAGGCTTCATCTGGTCACCTGCATGCCCTTTTAAGTGTGACCATGTGTCTCAGCTGGGGGTTCTTGGAAAGGAGCTCTGTCTCTGTCCCCATTGTCTGATTCTTTTTTTTGCAGTTTTTGACTGGGGCTGGGTTTGAACCCATCACCTCTGGTATATGGGGCCAGCACCCTACTCCTTTGAGCCACAGGCTTTATACTTTTTTTCAGACCCTTATTGTCTGGTAGCTCCTGGCTTCCTGGGCCTCAGTATCCCTATCTGTATAATGGGAGCATTAGCCCAATAGTTCCCAGGTCCCCACCAGCTCTGAGTGGCTCCCTCTACTCCCACTTGGCTGTAAGCCCTGAGGTTGGCATTGTGCCTGGCCTGCCCATCTCTTCTCTGGTTGGTGCCCACAGGGAAGGGGAAGAGCCTAGAGTTAGGGAGACTCCCTTCCCACCATAACCTGGCTGCTGAGGCCTGTGGAAGGCTGGCTGATTTTCTTGCCTCAAGATCAAGAGGACATGTTTTCTCCCTTGTGCTGAGCTGAGGATTCTTTTCCCAATGTTTATCTGAAATTTCATTTTTAAAGATGAGGCAAGGAAAAATGAGGCTTGCTTCTCTCCCTGCCCCTCCCTGAAGAATTCCAGAAACTGATTTGTCTTGTCAGAACATGGCAGGGACCTGCTGGCCTGGACTGCTCTCTGTGTACCAGCCGCAGACCAAAGCCATCGCATATTGATCAGCATTGATGGATCTGGCACAGTTGACTTCTTACAGAGCTAGAGAGCTGCGCGAGTCCCTCTAGAGAGAGAACTGCTTCGGGGACTGGCTTTGATTTGCAATGAGTGTAATAGATTAAAAGCAGTGGGTCAGCATGTTTTATTGAGCACCAGCTGTGTACTTTAGCCCTGGGCCTGCAATGCTGGGTTCAGGCACAGATTCCATCTTCCCACCCCCACTGTTCCCCGCTGTCCCGCTGCCACATGGCCTCCAGCTGGCTCCCTGCCTGGAGCCTGGCCCCCAGGCCTCTGACTGTAGCATTCAGAGCCTTCTGAGGGCAGGCCTCCACCCAGAACCCTTCATTTGTTCAATCATTCATTCAATCTACAGACACCTTCTCTGTGCCAGCCCTGTA